GCAGAAATTTTAAATGCATGAGAGACTAAATTGATTTTATGTTGTCATCTTACAAACTCCCTTATCTTGATATCCTTCTTCTTCTTCATGCTTTCATTACATAATTCTAAGAGAAAGTTACAATTAATCTTTAGAGAGAGATTTTCATAACTAATATGTTTCATTTATAAAAATCTCTTTCCTCTGCTTAATTTGGCATATCATTCATCTATTGTGAGTTTTGTAATCTAGAATGGATATGAGTCTTTTAATGTCAAAATCTGTGAGTGACAGCTTTGTGTAAAGCTTGTTTGTGAGAATTTTCAAGCACCCATCATGTGTAAGAGTAAGTGCTGTGAATTTGCTGGTTCTTTGAAAAAACTAGTTAAGTTTGCTAGTTCTTTAGAAAAACTAGAGGTTTAAGTTTTCTAGTTTTTTACCAAAAACTAAAAGTAAGTTTGCTTATTCTTTACAAAAACAAGTTAAGTTTCCTAGTTTTTTTAGAAAAACTAGTGGGGTTAAGTTTCCTAGTTCTTTAGAAAAACTAGTGGGGTTAATTAAGTTTTCTAGTTCTTTAATAAAAACTAAAAGGTAAGTTTAAAATTTCTTTGCAAAAACTTGTGGGTTATGGTTAGTGCTAAGTGCTAGGACTATTTCCATTGTGAGTTATGGTTTTGCTAAGTGTTAGGACTATTTCCATTATACTAGGCTTTGCTCTTGCCCTTGAAAAGAGTTTAATAGTGACAGATCTCAAGATGGTTTCTTGAGGAGTGGATGTAGGCATGAGAAGTATGGAACCACTATAATTCTTGGTGTTTGATTTTCTCCTCTCTTTCTCTTTATGATATTGCTTGACATTTTACACCACACAATTTAATCTTAATGATGTGATGTTATCTTGATTATTGAATCACTATATGTTCTGATTTGTTGAATCTTTATGATTAATATTACTTTAAACTAAAACTGTTTCTGAGTTATAGAGTTGCCTAGTTTAATGCTCTAGCTTTGAGTTGAATGTACGCAACTAGGTGAACTTTTGGTTCCACGGTCCTCTTAGATATCCTAAGCCTCCTGAAAAAGATTAAACCAAAAGAACTGCTCCTCCTAAGAAGAATTTTAATCCTACAGGTGTTATTGGCAATAAATTACTGCGTAAACTGGCAAAAGCCTTTTGAAATTCTAAACATAAAAGATGATCAATGAGAAGAAGTTTACTTGGCTGCTTTGATTTCTTATTGGTTATGCAAGTTTGTACTTTCATATGATCCTGTGAATCTTATTCGTCCAAGCACATCCTGTGAATCTTATTCGTCCAAGCACCTCCAGAGTTGCAAGTATGATCGCACCCGTCGAAATCTTTTCTTTAGCTATTCCTGTTTTAGCAAGCATTTATAGAGGCCTTCGCGCAATTTCTACCGCTACAACTTTGAAGAGGTGCGAAGTTCCATTACCTTTCTATTATGTTTATGCTTGGTTAGCTAATCATTTTGACACACACTTTACACATGATGTTGATGGAGATGCTAAGATGACTTCTTATAGTGGACAATGAATGGCCAAGTACTATAATAATACTGAAGTCACCAAACTTTTTATGGAAAGGAGAGCTTATTTGGGTCCATCTCGTATAATGAAGAAAGACTTCCTTTTGGAGGATAATGGTAATTTGTCTTCATATTAAGTGGAACACTTCATCAATCTTCATTCATTCAATCAAATCTTCATTCAAGCTTTTAACCTTGCGCTAAGAAGTACCAATACATCATGAGTCATACAGCCCTCATTAGCATCATTGAGTCATACAGCCCTCATAGATTCAGTAGACAGCTGGGTTATTGCCTAGATCTTCCTGGTAATATGGACATGTCTTTTTCAAGAGTATCTTTGGAGACAGTCATACAACTTTAGGAATCTTGTATAAATCTAGCTAGTGATGCTAAACTAACTGTTCCTTCAGTGAAACTTGATGGTCATTTTTCATTTACTAAAGCGTATAAGGATTGTGAAAAGTTGAATGGTCTAAAGCTTTTCCTCAAGATGAGATGCCGAACTTAAGACCAATGCCAAAATTATTGAAACTTGAAAGCCTTCTCGTTTGAAGAATTCAAATGTGAAAAAGGTAGATGTGTTCCTCTAAATGCTCCATAAGAATCTGTTATTAAGAAGGGTAAGAGAGAAGCACCAATTATGTTGAAGATAAAATCACAAGTAGCTGCTAATCCTTCTAAAGAAAAGGTAACTAGCACTTCACAAAGAAAGACTCCATTATAGAAGCTAGTGATTCCTTCTAAAGAAAAGGTAACTAGCACTTCACAAAGAAAGACTCCATTATAGAAGCTAGTGATGAATCAAATCCTTCAAATAATGGCATCCTAATCCAAGTTACAACAACTCCTAATCAAGTAAAGGTGTTAAAGGTGCATTGAATTCTTACTCTAGTCAAAAGGCATTGTAGAAGAGATATGCTTAATTTATCTCCTTCAAATGAAGAGAAGAATGATTTTGATCGTTGTTGGAAAAAAGTAAAGCGAAATAATCAAGCTTCATCAACACAACAATTTTATGATCCTGATGACCTGGTAAGCTTTTGCTTTCTTTTTTTAACTTTTTTTTTCTTGTTTTTCCTTTTTTTTTTAACTTCACACTTTTGAACTTTACTTTGCAAATTTCTTATTGCAGTTGAGCTTCAATGATGTGATTTGTGATGATGGACCTTGTGCATTGCCTTTAGATAGCATAAGTTTTATACTTGGGCCAGCTTCTTATGACTCCCTTTAATCACTTTAAAGGATCTTGATGAGAATCCTCCATTGAAAGATTCTAGCACTAGTCATTAGAAGGAAAAACAACAAGATGCTCATCAAACAAAGAAAACAAGTTATCATGCTACTTTTGAAATGTCTGCATTTTGCGGTAACGATTTTATGACCGACTGTCATCGTAAAGTTTCAGTAATGGCATGGAAGCGGCTAAGAGCTAAAATTGATCTAACTTCCACATCACAAGTTCCTTCTTTTACTGAACAAGCTCATATAATTTTTTATGGTATAGAAAAAGTAGAAGGATTTGATACCTCTGTCTTAAGAGAGCAATTCGTAAGCTACCTTCAACTTGCAAATGATTTCTTGCAGTTGAAATCATTTTTTATTCAGGCGTTTCGTTAGAATTTCAGCTAAAGAAATTAGAGAAGTCAAAAGGGTAGCTGGATGATTCTTTGAGTCTTGAGAAAGAAGTCATTGCCAATTCTTCAATTGTAGAGGATGAACTTATAAAAATTGAGGAAGAACTAGCGAGGTTGACTTCAAGGAAGAAAGTAGTTGAATCCTCCTTAGAAGGGATGGAAAGTGATGTTTTGGAAAAACAAAGCATGGTTTCAAAAATTTGTGAAGAAATATCCAAAGTTGAAGCTATGTCAATTCACAGTGCAAAAGATGATCAATCTCTTTCTACGTTGCAAAAGCTACTTTCTGATAAGCACAAGGAGTTAGAGCAACTTGAATGTAACCTATAAAAGCTTCTCCTTTTTTCTTTCTCTTTTTTTTTTTTATTTTAGACTTCGCTTATTAATTCTTTTTTTTTTAATATAATCAAATTCTTCAGTTATTAACAAAATTTGATTTCATTAATCACTTATCACGCTTATCCTTTTTGCTCAACCTTGAATTTCTTTTTTTTTTTTTTTGAAGTCATAACGTAGTTCAAATAAATCTTTATAACGCTTCAGTTCTTTTTTTTTTTTTTTGAAGTCATAACGTAGTTCAAATAAATCTTTTTTTTTTTTTAGATTTTTTTATGTGACTGAGCTGCCTACGTACATTCTTTTGGAAGGATCAAGTCATGACGTAGTTCAGCTACAAGATTTTTTCGTTTTTTTTTTTTAAATTAGTCATTCATAATTATAGCTCATACAAGCCAGGAGTGTTGTCGAGCTTTTAGGCGTAGATCTCTCCAAAAACTTACTATTGATTGGCCCGATTCACACTCCATCTTGGTCAATTATCTTGTATGTTCCATTCGAATAGAATTCTTGAACTACGTATGGTCTATCCCAATTTGAGAGGAACTTATTGCCCATACACCATAATATGATTATTGGTCTTCTTACTGCTAGAACTAGATCGCCAACTTGAAAAGAGCAGATTCGCACCTTCTTGTTAAAAGCTTTGCACATTCGAGCTTGATAACACTCTAAACATCGTTGCACTTCAAGTCATTTTTCATACAGTGCTTCCAACTCTTGTAGGCAAAGCCGAGCATTGTCTTTATTAGAAAGACCTTCTTGAATATCAATTCTTAAGGATGGATTTCGTTGTTCAAGAGGAAGAACAGCTTCTACACCATAAACAAGCGAATATGGAGTTGCTTGAGTTGATGTTTTATATGTAGTTTGATGAGCCCATAATGCTTCACCTAGCCTTTCTTGTCAATCCTTTCTTGACCGATTAACTATCTTCTTGAGAAGTTTGCCCAAAGTCTTATTGAATGCCTCTGGAAGCCCGTTTGCTTATGCATTGTATATGGACGAATTATATTGCTTAAATTTGAATTGCTCACATAATTTGTCCATGGATTTATTGTAGAACTCCCTTCCATTATTAGTTATGACATGGATTTATTGTAGAACTCCCTTCCATTATTAGTTATGATGTATCTAGGCACACCAAAATGATAAATGATGTTCGTTCTAATAAAGCTCATTACAGTCTCCTTCTTGATTTCTTTGTATAGAGCAGCTTCAGCCCATTTCGAGAAGTAATCAATAGCAGCAAGAATGTATAGGTGGCCACTTGAACTTTTTGGAAGTGGTCCTACAACATCCAATCCCCAAGCTTTGAAAGGCCATGATGCTACTGTTGGGTGAAGTGGTTCAGGTGGTTGATGAATTATGTTTGCATGTAATTAACACTCTTAACATCTTTTGGCGTAACTCGGGTGAAGTGGTTCAGGTGGTTGATGAATTATGTTTGCATGTAATTAACACTCTTAACATCTTTTGGCGTAACTCGTATAATCCATCATCATTGTTGGCCAATAGTACCCCATCCTTTTAATATGGAAGTGCAACTTTGGCCAGACTGATGTGCTCCACAAACACTTGAATGTGCTTCTTCTAAAGCTTTGTTAGCTTCTTCCTCCCCAAGGCAGCGTAGGAAGATTACATCAAAAGAGCGACGATAAAGCGTACCTTTGAAGTTTATGAAGCGAGAAGCCCGCCATCTTATTTCAGCTTTCTTTCTTGGATCATCTATCGATTTTCCATGCTCCAGATAATTGATAAGTGGTTGTCGCCAATCTTCTTTATCAACTTCATAAACTGAGACAACATCCACCTCTTCGTGTTCAACATCCAACATTGGTGGTACTACCCATCTCTTGCATACTGGCACTTTTGCTTCTACATCTAGCAATGCTAAGGTTGATGCCAAATTTGCTAAAGCATAGCTTGGCGATTTTATTTTCACAATAAGTGTTCGATGGAAGTATTGTCAAACTGAGAGAGAAGTTTAGCAGCATAAGTGTAGTAAGGCAACAACTCTAGCTTTCCTACTTCATATAAGGAGAGTACTTGATTGATAACCAACTTCGAATCTCTAAATATCCTCAAGTTAGATACTCCATATCAATTGTCATTTCTAGGCCACGTATCAAATCCTGATATTCTGCAACATTATTTGAGCACCTCTTGACTAAGTTGAACGTGAAAGGTAAGATTTCCCCTTTTAGAGTGATTAAAACAACTCTAGCTCCACCCATTTGACTTGATGCACCATTAAAGAACATTATCCAAGGTTGTGGAACTTCAACAAGGAAAACTTCTTCATCCGGTAACTCTTCAGAGAACTTCCAATCATCAAGATTAGGATGGTTTGCAAGAAAATTAGCAAGGGCTTGCCCTTTTATTGCTCTTTGTGGGATGTATGTTATCTCAACTCTTAGAGTAATAGAGCCCACTTTGCTAGTCTTCTAGACAAGACTGGTTTGGCCATCAAATATTTGATGGGATCAGCAGGTGAAATCAACCAAATTGAATGAGCCTGCAAGTAATGCCTCATTTCTTTATGGCAAACATTAATGCTAAACACATCTTCTCAATTGATGAATAGTTCAACTCAGCACCAGTTAGTGTTCTACTGAGATAATACAATGGATTCTCCTTTCCTTCATCATTTCTTGTGCTAATAGTACTCCCAAAGAGCATTCTTGAGAAACAATATACAAGATGAGGGACACCCTTGTATTGGTGATCTAAGAACAGGTGCATTCATCAAGTATGACTTAATGCTTTTAAAAGCATTGCTACATGCTTCATCCCATTCAAAAGGGATGCCCTTTTTCATGGTCGACTGAATGGCTGACATTGACCAACTAGATTTGAAATGAATCTTCGAATGTATGCCAATTTCCCTTTTAGGCTTTTGATTTCATGATTGTTGCGAGGTTTCGGCATTTTGAGGATTGCATCAATTTTTTATTGATCAATCTCAATACCTTGGTGTCTCACAATGAACCCTAAAAACTTTCCTGAGGATACTTCAAATGCACATTTTAAAGGATTCATCTTCAGTTGGAATTTACGTAAATGCTGGAATACTTGTCGAAGATCATGGATGTGGTCAGTTTCTTTCTTTGACTTTACAACTAGATCGTCAACATAGCATTCAACATTTTTGTGGAGCATATCATCAAAGATCTTTTGCATTGCTTGCTAATAAGTGGCAATAGTGTTCTTCAATCCAAAGGCATAACTGCGTAGCAATATATACCTTTCGGTGTTCGAAATGTTGTCGCTTCTGCATCCTTAGCAGCCGTTGGGATTTGATTATAGCTAGACGAGCCATCCATGAAGAAAAGTAATTCATAACCAGTTATGGCTTCCACCATAATTTCAATGATGGGAAGAGGAAAGTCAACCTTTGGACATGCATTATTTAGGTCTCAAAAATCTACACAAATTCTTAACTGTCCATTTTTCTTTTTGATAGGAACAATGTTTGAGATCCAAGTAGGATTCTTGCCTTCCCATATGAAATCGGCATCAATGAGTTTATTAACTTCAACTTCTATTTATGGAATCAATTCTAGACGGAATCGCCTTTAAGCTTGTTTCACTGGCTTCACCCTAGGTTTGATTACCAAGTTATGGACTGCTACCTTAGGATCCAATCCTAGCATCTCTTTATAGGACCATGAAAAGACATCTCGATACTCTCAAAGCAATTCAACATAATCCATTTCCTCCTGAGATAATAAATTTGCACTAAGAAAAATTGGGCGAGGCTCTACCATTGTTCTGAGATTAACTTCTTTCAACTCATCAACTGTAGCTTTATTTCCCTCTTCCAAAGCAAAAGGAGCATCCTTAGCATTTTCCTCAACAAGATTTTGGTCTTGATCCATGTCCTCAAAAGTAATGTGGCCAACCATCACTACATCAAGTTCTTCTTCCTTAGGTTGATTAAAGACTTAGCTGGTTATAACCATGGTATGTAGTTTTACCTTCAATGCAGATTCTGTGGTCACCACCCACTTAGTTTTTCTTTTCATCTGAGAGGGAATTTTACTACGCAAGTCATTACAATCTATAGTAACAATAGACTGCTTTTTTTGTTCTTCTTTCCTTTACTTGGTTTTGAAATCTCGAGTCTTTGGTGGATGGAGGTTCTATTTTTCTCGGCGTCTGTACCTTCTATTCCAATTCAATCAAAGATCGAAATACGATTTGAAGAAACTCCTAGTTTCTTCTTTCCTTTACTTGGTTTTGAAATCTCGAGTCTTTGGTGGATGGAGGTTCTATTTTTCTCGGCGTCTGTACCTTCTATTCCAATTCAATCAAAGATCGAAATACGATTTGAAGAAACTCCTAGTTGACTAAAAACAGAAGGTCTTGAAACCTCGCTTTTTGTCTTCTCTATTTCTTCAACAGAAATATGATTAGAGGTTTCTCTTCTGATTTTCAAGTGTAAGGAGCAAGAGCTTGATACCCCAGGCCAACTTTAGACCCTTGCTCAACAGTATTCTTCTCCTTTAATACTTTATGAATCCCAGTTGATGATTGCTCACTATCACCATTCTTGAAATCCTTCGTCAATTTGGCCACATCAGTAGAACCATACCCAGCTTTAGCCAATAGTCTGTGAGCTTTGGGATCAAAACCACTTATTCTTTTGGCTGGCAATGCTCTAAGCTCAATTATTAGGCTCTTGGAAGGCCTTGCAAAACCTTTCAAGGGTGACTTGAAAACTTTAGGGGAAACAAGATTAGTGACTGGTAGAGTCAAATCTTTCAAGCCTTGTATGATATCTTTAGGATTTGAGGAAGAAGATTGATCATCTTGGCCTTTTGAGACACGCACAAAATGAAGCTTTATTTTCTTAATAACTGTTTAACTTATCTTTGCTAAGGCATTATGCTCACTTTCTTTTCTTGAGGAAGATTCCCCTTTTTTAATCGTCTTTGGAGGAGCCTTTACTTCAACATCCTCAAGAACTGGTTGAATTTCCTCAATCGAAAATTCTTCAAAGTCTAACTTTGCATCAGCGAAATATGATTCAGCTTTAATAAATGGCTTCGAATCAGCTATGACTATTCTTACTGTTCCATAGTGTTTGAAACACTGATGGTTAGTCGACACCTTATTTCCATGAATCTAAGGACGCCCTAATAATATGTTGTAAGTTATTCTTGCATCAAATACATGAAGAAGAACACTTGACTCTATCTCGTCAATATGCAACTGAAGCTAAATTCTACCAATAGCCCTTTGCTCATTCTGGTTAAAGTCATGTATCATTAATCGATGTTGCTTCAATTCATCCATAAGTATGCCAAGTTCCTTGAAGGTCTTGAGAGGCATAATGTTGATAGCTGAACCTAGATCAAGCAAGATTCAATTTCCCTTTCTTTCATAGATATAACCTGTAACAAACAAAGGACGATTATGAGGCTTATCACCAAGTACTCGATCTTCATTAGTAAAGGTGATCTTTTCCATAGCCGTATAGTAAGCCTTTGCTTCTTGAGTCTCCTCATCTTTATCTTGTTTTAGCTCTCCTTCAACATGACAGCATGGAAAGGACAATTTAGCACCCATAACCTCCTTTGGCATGTATTCCGCCAAAGTAATTAGTTGCCTAGTCAATTGTGTTGTCTTGACAAACTTCTTCAATACCTTACTCCTCTTCAGAATTGCCTTGGATGGTAGTGGGTTCCTCCTTTTACTTCTTTTGTGAGTAACCAAAGTCCATCCTTCTTATTCGAACTGATTCTCAGTAAGTTCATTGCCTCCAGTGGTGCTCCCATCTCCTTGTAGCAAGTTGAATTCATTTGGCAAAGAAGTTTGGTTTCGAACAGACATCTCAACTTCAACCAGGTCCAAAGAGCCAAATCTTATTATTTCTTTTCTTATGGAGATTGGCGATTTATCAATCATTATTGTTATCAAATTGGTAGTCGCTTCCTCCTCATCGAAAGTGATGCCACCATTCTTCTACAACTCCATGATTTTATATTTCAAAACGAAGCACTTCCCAATTGGATGGCTAATTAGCCTATGATACTTGCGGTAATTTGAATCATCCACTCGATTTGCTTCCTCCGGGTGCTTCATCTCTAGCAATTGGATGAGTTTAGCTTTAAGCAGTTCATCCAACATACTTGAAAGTTAGCTTTTAAGCAGTTCATCCAACATACTTGAAACGTCAAAAAATCAGAAAAAGATGATAGCTCTTTTCTTGCCTCTTCCTTCAAAGCTAGCCTTTTTTTCTTTTTCTATTGGTGAAAAAGAGCGGCCTTTACATGCTTCTTTCTTTCTCAGTCCTTAGGTTATAATCTTGAACTTGATTGGCACTGTTGTTACAGCCATATATTACTTACTTTCTGACTTGACATGTGTTTTAGAAAGTTTCCACACTTCCAGCTTATCTTTCCCCTTTTTGGGTTCCTAAACTGGGATATTTTGATTCCCATGATCAGAAATACTGAGCTCCATGTCATGAGCTCGAGTAGCCAACTCTTCAAAAGTATAAGGCTTGATCCCTTGCAGCTCCATGTCATGAGCCCTAGTAGCCAACTCTTCTAAAGTATGAAGCTTGATCCCTTGCAAGATGTAGCGCAAGCCCCAATGCATGCCCTTGATGCACATATCAATTACTAAGGATTCTTACAACCGATCCTTGCAATTCAAGTTGAGACTTCTCCATCTTTCAATGTAGTCAATAACAGATTCTTTTTTCCATTGACGAGTAGTAGTGAGTTCAATCATGCTAACTACACATTTGGTGATGTAGAAGCGATTGAGGAATTCCTGCTCGAGTTCTTCCCAACTATCAATAGAACTAGGCTTGAGATCTGTGTACCAATCAAAGGCATTTCCTTTCAAAGACTGAAGGAATTGTTTGACGAGCAGATCATCGTCCATGCCAGTATTGTTGCAATTTTTCATAAAGTGGGCTATATGCTATCTTGGATTTCCCTTTCCATCAAATTGTTGAAACTTGGAAGGTTAGTAATTTGATGGCATCCTCATCATGTCAATCCTCAAAGTGTACAACTTTGATTAGGTGTAGGAAGGCTGCATTGTATTCTCCAACTGATCTTTCAGGGCTTCTTTAATCAGCTCTTTTAGTTGAATAGTTGAGATTGAGCCATCGGCAATCAGTTTGAAACCTTTTTCTAGGATCTCCTTTGACAGCATCTTTTTGGGTGGTGTAGACCCTTTTGATGCGAATTCATCCTTTCAGACATCTGACTTTTTCCAGTCACACTATCTAACCTATTCATGAGGAACACAATTTGGCTATCTTTCTCCTTAAGAGCATGATTGAGAGTGTCCAATTGTAGTCATCATAACAAACATAACATTAGAAGAGTTTGTTGTTGAAGCAGTTGACTACTTTTAGGAAGCACTTTTCTTAGCAAACTCCATCAGAATTGGCGAAACAACAATTTGTTAAGGCAAAGGAGTCGCCTTCGCATAGATTTCAGCGATGGACGTTGTCTTGATGTTTGCATTAGGACTCAAGTCGGTAGTGGATCTGACATTGAGAAAATTCGAAGCGCCAGTTTGTGTGGCCTTTGAGGTGCAGTGATCTTCTTTAGTGCCATTGAATCTTTTGGTTGATTCGTCGGAACTCCGAGATTTGCAAAGGGAAGAGATGAGAGGTAGAGAGGTCCCACTGAGCGTGCTAGAAATCAATATGCATAAAATTTGTTCCTAAACATTAAGAAACAAAAATACAAAAATATAACTTGAATTTATGATAATAAGTGGATATAATTTCTAGCGTGGAATCTCCTATTACAAAGATTATCCTCTGATTCTTCTCTTAGTTGTTGTGCACACGATTCAAGAGTCGAAACAACTTGATCTTGAATACGATTCAACGGCCGAAGGGACATAGACCTTAAATTGATGTAGAACGAACTTTGGACGATTCAAGGGTTGGAGAGATTTGATCTTGAATTGAATGGAAAGAACTTTGACTCTTTGGACTTAAAAGAGAGAGCTTTTTAGTCTTGAGTTTGATAGAGCTTTTAGGCTTCTTTTTTGTCTTTCTCTCTATATGTGTGTATCTCATATGTGAAGAGAGACCTCCTATTTATAGAGATTTGAGGAAATTCCCTTGCTAAGTATATAATTTGATTGGTCCACTTGGCAAGCTCTCATTGGCTATTGCTGCATCACTTAGCTTATGTAGACGCTTAACTTATTCGTCAAGATTTAATTTAATTGGTCCATTTGGCCAATTTTTATTAAACTTTACTACATTATTTATTTATGCAGTAAATTGTACCTCCCACCGCCCAGTCCTGAGAGACTCGACGGTGGATGCCGCATTCGGTGCCGGAGACACCATCCTAACTTAACATATAAATCATATAATCAGATTATGAATTAGAAGTGATTAAGTATTCACAAGTTTAGCGAGTAATTTTTTTTTCCTCTAATAAGATTATATATAACTTATGAAAAACGATTTGGAAAAAATCCTACAGATTAACTGCAAGAATTTCCCTTAAACTGAGCTTACCAAAAATGCGAATACCAAAACACTTCCTAATTCAAATTCTAATTAACAACTCCAATGACAATTAACCAACACATCAACAATTCTATATCTTCATAACTATATAAATCCTGAATAGCATTTTAATGATCATCAATTAAATGCATTCATTATATATATCAAGTACTTATGTTCTTAATTATACCAACTATCTTAAACATATTTTGGATCCAAACATTAAATAAAATCTCATGCTTATCTCCAAACATATACACCAAAATAATTTATAATTACATGCTTAAGTTATAATTCAAATAACATAATCTCTAAAAATGTAATAATTATACACAACACATAACACCAAAATAATTTATAATTACATGCTTACAGTTATTTAATTTCAAATAAACATAATCTTTC